CATTGTAGCACCATTCCTGTGTCACAAAGCTATATAGGTCAGATGAATGTGGATTTCTTGTAAAGGAGGAACTCCCAAAAAGAAACAACAGAAATTGCTCTCTTGGGGATATCACTGACAATATCCCTAGTGTCTGCCTGTCAAACATCTGAAAAGTTGCTCCTGTTTCCTAATCCTTAGACCACAGTATCTTAGGGAATACTTGAAACATTTTAGCTTCACAGTATCTAACAATTCAAGATAATACTATAGCAATAGTATGGTCAATCTCCAAAACAAACAAACAAAACAAATAAAAAGGCTGATTTACGAAACAGGATTCATGTATTACACTACAGAGTAGAATTTAGTGTGGAACAAGTATTTAATTATACATTATCTGGTAGCTGTTCCATTAGAAAATAAATATCAGATAATGACAAGTTACGTACAGTGCTATATTATTGCAAAATAATGGTATGATTAATTCAGTATTCCAAATCTATGCAATAATTACCTTTGAATTGGCTAAAATAATTACAGTTCAAACAACAGAAACATCTACCTAATCACCCTCCATGAGGTAATTGCATGTTTGTTATCTGAGTTTTTCATATGAAGTTACAAACAAAAATAGCAGGCAAGTGAAAGGAGAAGGGTTTTTTTCTTCTTGAGATTTTAAGTCAGTTGGCTTCCCATTTGCTTCTCCAAGTAAGTAGTAAAGTGTAGCACTACTATTGCGCTATACATCTCCCTTTGGTCAGTCATCTATTATGATGCCAGTTCTAATTGACAAAGGAAATAGACCAAAACGTGCTCGAACGACCATTTAATTAGCTCCCATACCAATTATAAACAACACTTCACTCACCTTCGATCAACTGACAAAAGTAGTAATGATAAATTATAGAGTAAGTGTAAATAAAGTGTTTTTAATTAGTGTAATTAATCACTTCACACATTCTTCAACCTGCTTTGCTCATTTGGATAACAGCTGAAAGAAAAACACTGGCAAAACTCCTTTAATGTCCTTTAAACATTAATTTACGGAGTTAATAGGTTGAGGTGCCTCACATCCCATCAAGAGGAGCCAATTCCTAACTGTTAGTATATGCCTAATTAAAGATCTCAAATACCAAAAAGTCATCACTTACTTGTTTCTTCTGCCTCCCAGGTCATTTAGGTTGAATGCAAAATATCAATTCCTACCCTACAACCTACTTTTTTGTTAGTTCATTAAAGTGTCTGTACTCCGAGTGAGCAGTTGCCAACCCTTCCTAAACCCGAGTTCTATTTGTTGCCCAGTTTTGCAAAGGAATGGATAATTTAAAAAGAACAGCATAACAAGAGAGAGCTTCTGATGGTAACCTGCTGGTGTCCTTCCACAGTATCTGACATTAGAGAAGAAGTGATTATAGTTGATGACAAGGTGGACAGACCTATTCCTGGTGATACCAAATTCTTTGTCATCTCACTCATACATCCTGTTTTCTAAGTCCTGCTCCCAGAATTAAACTACTCCATCTGGAATGAGGAGTAAACTTTCCTTCCAAATCAGAAGGGTAAGGAACACTTATTTGTCTGTTTTAACCCCCTCCATTGCACTATATGCTATTTTTGAGGTCATCTGAAACATTCTTTGAGAAACTCTTCGTCTCTTGCCAAGATGATTTAGGATGGTTTTGGAAAGCAGAGGAGTTGAGTGAGCAGAAGGGAGGCTCTGCAAGTACCACAGAGGGCCGCAAAAAGCAGCCACAATGCCACATAGGTACAGAACACCTCCATTTTCTGGTCTCCAGGAAAGTTGTGAGAAATGCAGAGGCACGGGGCAATAAGGAAAGTCCTTGGGAACTAGATGATGGAACTTTGTGGCAATCATAAAAAGACATTTTCTTAATTAGAAAAGGGAGAGATTAAACCAAGGCAAAACTTAAGATCTGCAGCTGAAAACACAACTTGTCAGCTGCAATTGGTCATACAAATTCTGTAGGAAAAGAAGGGTTTCCAAGGCACCTCTTAGTCTGACCTCAAAGAGAAGCTAACAAGCAGATCTCCTATAACAACAGTAATAACCATGACATCCATTCTCCCTCCAAATCCTAGACTAGAACTAGAATAGGTCTAGGAAAATATTTCAACATCTACCTTCTAGGAGATATTAAATATTAAATAGATCAGTAGCTTTATATTACAAGAAAAAATGCCAAGGCTGTAACATAGCAAAGGAATTCAATACCCTAGAAATGAAGAAAGTTGAAGGCCAAAAAAGGCAGCAAAAGCAGGGACACCATCTGCATGCTTAAAATGAAGAACTAAATGGTAATACTTTAAATGCTTAATCACAAGCAGCTCCCTTGCTATGAACCAAACACATCTCTTTAGATGAGAGGCAGCAAATCTTAAATGGGTACACTGAAAACAAACTTGTTTCACAAAAAAGGAAAGTAATTTATATGCAATGCAATGCTCTACCAGCATTAAGAGGGCTATGTTCTACCTACAAATACTGAAAGGGTCTTTAGTACTGCTATAGAACATATTCTTAGGTACTGGAAAATAGGATTTTGTGGAATGAGTTTACAAGTATGAAGTTCATTTTCATCAAAGAATTCTATAAATTATATATATATATATATATATATATATATATATATATGTGGAGAAATGATGCAAAGAACTAGGTTGATACCATTATATAAGTGAATAATACAACTTTATCCCTTATAACTCCCCTCCTGACCTAATTACTATTGGAAAGAAAGATGAAAAACACTTTATTTCAACAGTAAGTGAACTGGAAATAGAAACTAGTTTCATTAGATTCTGATTATCTTATGCTTTATACACAAGGTAACACTTCTGCCAATATTTTAAGAAGAAAAGAGAGGCATCTTCTAGGATTTGAAATAATATATCTCTACTCCAAGGGATAGCAAAGCACCACAAATGTCCATAAGAAGTAGTAGAAAAGTATAGGACTTGAAGGGCATAAGAAAAAAAAAAGTTGCATTCGATCATAACAGTAAATATTTCTTTTTTGATTCCTGGAAGATTTATTTTTTTTTTTAAACCTCGTAGAATAATGTAACATAGCAAAGCTTAAGTAATCCTGACATGACAGGGTAACTTCAGATAGTGTGTATTTTGCTTTTTATATCATATCATGCACAGCATTACTTCAGATATTTGTATGAAATGTAAAACCAGACAGATCTTCTTTCATCAGAAATACTAGGTAATGTTTGACAGCAGGAAATATCTGGATTTCCGTTACTAATGAGAGAAATTCTTGAAGATGCTGCAGATCAGGACTGAAATACATGCACTGAGCAAGAATAGATCTGTACATATTTAAGCTCAGAATACAGAAGCTGGCCTTGTCTTTGTTTTTCTTCTGTTTGCTTGGTTTGGTTTTTTAATAAAAATCTATCCTCAACTGAGTTTAAAACCAAGGATAACCCTACTTACACAAGTTTTTTATTGACCCCAAGATTAAAACAACTTTTTTTGGTAGAAGATTAATCATATTTTATGAAATTATTTGCTAATCCCTGCAGGTATAGAAATCAGGTAGTCTCTGAAAAAGATAATTTAGCATTGGCCATTAGGACAATGAGCTTTATTTGAGCAATAGATAAATAATACAAGAACAAGTTGGGCAGCAAGGATAACTAAATTACATTTCTGCATTAAAAAAAACACAAAGAGGAAAAATAGTGTCCTCAAGCCTTTCGATGCTGCTTCTGTGAAACTTTGCAACACTAGGAGTGGTGGAACACTTCACTGTAACAGAAGCTTGCTCTGTATTAAAATATCACTGTGGAACCACAGAACAATACTTGAGTGGGGCTCCTTAATGGGATTAGATACATTTGGAATGTGACCAGAATGAGAAATTTGTGTACAGGAGGAGCCACTGCATGTTGCAACACAGACAGGAAACTCCAAGTCGGCAGGAACTGCCATGTTTCCATTTGAGAAACGCTGGGTTTTGGTATTAAAAATTGCAATTTTTAAATTTGTGTTTTCATTATCAGTCTCCCATTTTTAAAGGAATAACTACATTTAAAATGGTGTGTGGGCTTTGTTTACAGGAAAAAAAGAGCTGACCATATTTTGCATTATTAAATCTTAATTTTTTGAAGTGTTTTCTACCTGTGAAAACCAGCTGCAAGCATCAAGTGTTTCTAGTCACCCTCTGTGCCTAGCACGGCCTAAAATTGCTATCAATAGTACTAAACTAATGTGTTCCCTTTTTATTACTAGGAAATAAAATCAGATGTTTATAGATATCACACAAACATGAAAGCTGAATGCATTATCTGAAAAGAAAATGAACAGACAAATCTCGTCTGATAGACCTAAATTAGACTGCTGAAAAAAAAAAGTGCCCAACAGCTTCTGATTATAAAAGCCTAAAAAACCCCTCACAGATATATGGATCTAATACAAAAGTTATCAGCAGATCTATTACACTATTATGTTGTTCAATGAACTTAACTACTAGCACAAAACAGGTTTCCTCTTCTTGTGCAAAGCAGAACTCCATTTTTTCCAGACCTTTGACAGGCCTAAATCCTGAATCTTTTCTGTCCACAAAAGAAAATGACTATTTGGTCTCGGAGGTGAGGCAATTCAGAATGTGTTTAGCTCTGCCTCAAAAGTCAATTAAAAAGTAAGTCAAAAATGTCAAAATTTTATTACAATCTTTTTCAAATCTGTCAAAACCTCCTCTGCCATAAACAAGAAACTATACCCTTCTGCTTTCTTTCTCTTGTCCACACAAATGTGCATCACTCTCTGCTCTCACACTGTCCTGAGAAAATGCATTTCTCCATCTATAAGGCCAGAATGGAAAAAATGGAAGCAGCTCTCTAATCTACATTACCACAGAAGTCACAAAAATCCTACTTGATTGAGAGCTGTGTAAACTGCATGTAGCACAACAGAAATCAAACCCAAATCCATACCTGCCAAAGTTTTATCTTCCACATACATCATTTTACATAGGCTAACAAGCCAACCACCTCTTTTTCCAGGGCTGCATCTCCACAATGCTTATGCCCACAAGCTGGCATCAGCAGATCCCAGAATTCTGTGGCTCCTGGCACTCGTGACTGTGCGGAGTGTGCAGGCACTGGCATTGCCACTGAGGCAGGAGTAGGGTGAGTGGTTTATCAGTCTCTTGTGGGGATGTGGGTGCATTTGTTTCCTGGCCCGTACCATAGGCACAATATTTACTGATGTTCTTTTGCGCTGTAGGTTCAGATGCCAAAAGCCTTCCTTTGTTCTGCTCCTACAGATGCTACTATAAGTCACTGTCATTTCCTAAGGCATTTCAGTAGCTGCTTCCTGCAGTGGATGAGGGAGCACCTGGTTGCTTGTAGAGGATTTGTGTTTGACACAGACTAAGCATTATAAACTGATCATTACCTCCTATCCATCTTTGGTGTTGCTACTAATTGTTCCTGCTGTCCTGGTCTCGACTCTCATCTTTCCATTTCCCCCCTCCACGTATGTTTTACCTGCTGTTACTGCTCTTTTTTTTTTTTTTTTTTTTCATTATTTTGTACTACAGTACTAAAGCTGGATTGTGAGTGGTTGTTTTCCTTAGCCATGGATTTCGAGTCAGCTGCACAGCATTAAATGACACTAGATACCAAAATCAAATTCATCACAGGACAAGTTCAGATGTATGAAGTAATATTGTGGTATCAGTATGGAATTTATATATAAACATATGTTGCATCTTACAGATATAGTAAACTCCATGAAAATCCATGTTACAGGTCACACCACATTGAAATAAAAATTCAGCATGTAGGCTGCTGTGCAGAAATTGAGGGAAATTAGAAATTCATTAGTTGCAATGTTCTCATAGTGTTACCTCAGGACTACCAACATGACACAACAATGCACATTCTGGGTTTACTTCCAGTTAGTTAATGGTAAAACATGTGAAAACTCAGGACAGCAAGGTCACTTATACACAGAAAATATGTGTGGGTTTTGATGGATTATTTTTTTGTCTCTGAGGATGAATGATCATCTGTTTTGGGGACAAGCACTGAGGCTTTATTGCATGCCATGTGAAAAAATAGATAAAAAAAAAGATAAAGGAAGAAGATAAAATAAAATATGGGAATTGAAACAAGAAAGGACACAAAAGAAAAGGATGTGGTAAAACAGAAATGGGTGGTTTAGGGAAAGAAAGTGCACTAAAGAAAGGCAAGACAGCATAGGAAGGGAGAAGGCTGGACGTTAAAATGGTGTGAGTGTCTCAAGCTGGAGAACTTCCTGAGGAGAGAAAATTGCAAGAGGCAGCCTACAGAAGTTTAAGTACAAAAATAAGGGCATGTACTGGGCTATCAGTTTTGAACAGCACTTTTGCCAGTGGCTTCTAGTGCTTTCCCCCTAGAAGCCTATAAACTCATCCAGGCATCTACCAATCTACAGAAGGCTGCAGAAGAATTGAGATGATTGGAGCCCTGCACAGGAGGGTGCCCAGAGCATCTTCTGTGCCACCTCTGAGGAAACCTGGGAAAGCATAAACTGCTTCCCTGAACACTGATGATTCATTCAGCCTTCACCAGGCTTCCTGCTTGCAACAACCACACATGAACTTGAAGACGGGCAGCAAACCAAAGAGAAACAAGATCAGCTGGACCTGAGTCCATCCTGAAGTAGATACCAAAGTCTGTCAGGAATCCTGGTGGTGAAAGCCCATACTGTGACTCTGCTCCTAAGTTTGGTCTCCTCCGGCCTGCATAAGGGAAGGAGCCAAAAAGGAAAACTTCACTCTTGCTCTTAAAGTAAGAACACTGACATGAATTTACCAAGATGTGATATGTCAGGAACAAAGATGTGCCTGTTATACCATCATGATACCCAGAAGGGAATAGGTGATGGAGTACTGCATGACAGTGTTTGAGCTATATCTCTTCTTCTGGTGCTATCCTCAATGCCTTTGAGCTCTGCCTGTGACAGAGAATGAAAACAATAGAGTCCAAGCTTAGGATGCTTAGTGCTGATGGAACATTTCCTGAAGCAGCACTGGCTGTAAGCACTTAGGCTGAGATGTAAGAGCCAGCTCTCAGCAGCACTAGAGCCAGCTTCATTTCATCAAATTCTAATGTCTTAGTGGGGTGTAGCAATGAATCTACAGAAGCTTTTCATGGTCAGCTATTTTGTAAAGACTTTCTTCTCCTGCTGAGAATTGCCCCTGGAAAGCAGGTCTCTGTTTGTGATAAGCCAGTGTTTATTACAATGTTAAATGCCTTAATAGTTATTTAATGCTCACACTTAGGGTGTCTAGGACAGAAAGAGGAGATGGGTAAAGGAAACATCCCCATTTCTAAGAAATCTACATATTTAACAACTACTTCAAAAGGTTGAATTTGACTTGCAGTTGAGACAATTCCTTTCTAACTTTCTATGTGAGAACATACCATGAACAACTGTGAAATCACCCTTTGAAAAATGGTGTCCCCCTTTCAGAGATTTACTCAACTACAAACTGGGCAAAGATGACTTCAAAACCCCAAAGTTTTGAAGTGAAGATTGGCCAAAGGCTTGTTTTAGAAAAGATTAATGGCGTAAAGAGAGGCGCCCAAACTATCCAACCATAAATATTTATCCTAAATTTATTATGATACTGACTAAAGTTTCCACAATAAATCAAAATTTCCTCAGACTTCATACTCTGAGAGATTTATCTGGAGCTATGAACTGTTGAGTCAGACACTGCTGGGTTTGCATTAATGCAGCAGACAGAAAGATACCCTGTGTTAGGCACTTATGCTGCTTCTACTCTAAAGACTCTGATCCTGAAAAGGAGGAGGGGCATGTACACTTCCTAGGGCTTTTTCAGCTTGGAAACATACTCAAAGAGCACATGATTTTATTAGTGTGTATGTTTACCAGGAGATCCCAAAAGAACACCTCTGTTGTGTGCACAAAGAATGACTAAGGTGGACAGCCCTGGCTCTCAGAGCGGAGAATGAAATGGAAATAACTTCATCTGTCAAAAAATTGTGATGTCCACTGTTGCCAAATTTCATCTCATTGAGCATGTCCAGCCATCTGACAGGTGGCAATTTCACAAAGCAAGACCTATGGGATGGAAAGCACATAAACAGACATACTTTTACAAATTCATTGTGTAAATAGTGCCTATTTGTTTCAATATATTTTCGCTATCTATGATAAAATCAGCTATGATAAAAGTTGAAAATCATACAGGTTGAATAAGGAGTGCTTTTTTCAAGCTGAGATATCTGCTTTCCCACTGGGTAAGGAAGATCTCTCTTATTACAAAAAAATTGCTGAAACAAAAGTGAATTAAGAGAATAAAATAAGAGTTTAGCCTACCTTTCAAGCCTCATAATTAGACCGGGGTTTTAAGTGAAATCCACATCTGTCTAATGTGACATCTGTATATAATTTCATGTGGTAAAATATTCTTGTAACATAAGTCTTCAGAGGGAAAAAATCCCAGCATCTAAATGATACTGCTATCTATTTGTGCTACATTTGGGGCAAATAGTTTCAAATTACTGAAAGAGTTGATATATTCTGGGATTGAGAGCAGAGTGGTAAACCATTATTTTTCTTCCCCAGAAGAACTTGGACACTCTTAACTGCCTGCATTTCTGTCAATATGTAGCATCTGTGAAATGCATTACAAAATGGACTTAGCTGAGAAGATGATGTTATTAAATCTCCATTGTATTTATTCCTTTATCAGTGCTCTGAATTCTGCAATTAATCCTGAGCACCAGGACAACAGGGTCACAGATATAAATAAAAATATGTATCCAGCAAATGTGGGGGGAAAAAAAATCTCCAAAAATCTGGAGTACTGGAAGTGTTGTGTGGGAATAACTACAATCCTAATAGAAACCTTTGTTCTAAAAATAAAAAACTGAAATTAAAAATTATCAAGACAATTGGGAGAACTATTTCTGATCCATGTCAATGAGAGCTCTGTTCCTACAGTCTGTGCTGTTGATTTAGAGAGCAAACAAGGAAGGTTGCCAAATTAAGTGATGAAGCAAGTGAAAAATAATGAAATTATTCTGTTTCAGTTAGAAATATAAACACTGAAAGTTTCATAAATCTGCCCCATAATCCTTTAAAGACCAGTCCTATGGTCATTTTGTGGCGGATGAAGCAAAGGAAAAAGCTTGGAAGATTTAAGAATAGATAAATTAAAATTAGAGACTTCTTTATTAGCAGATATTTGAGCCTGTGGTTTAAGTTAGGTAGAAAGTGCCAATGGATTTGCTCAGTAATCTTAGAAGTCTTCTAACCCTCCTTTTGCTAATGCCATGACAGAAGGAAAAACCACTGCCTGTCTCCACCACTGTAGCCTGCAAGGATGCAGTGTATTCTGTAAAGACTCAGCTTCAGCTAATTGTCTCAGAAATTGTTTTGATGACAGTTGCATGTCAATCCTCTAATGTGGCATGCTAATGACCCACAGGAATAGGGGGACAGAGAAACTAATAGAAGGTAAAGAAATATAGAACCAACTTTTCCTCTTGTTCCACTTTTACCTTACACTACCCATCTATAAACTACAAATTTACAATCATCAGGAAGATGTAGTTCAGTCTCAACAACTGCTTAGAGGACTCCAGCTTCTCTGTCACAGAGGATGGATATCTAGGGGCCTCAGGCAGTTCATCAAGATCCTTCCCACTCATCTGCAGGCCAGACTGCAATCTTATTAAACCTTAATGACAAATGTCTTTAGCAACCAATCTTCTTAAATCAGACAGCTATATATCTGTGTTTACTCTCCTTCCTTCCATGCAGCTTTCCACCTTTTCAACTGTTCTTACATATGATGTGAATGGGAAAAAAAGAGAAAAACAAAACAAAACCAAAAAAGGAGGTGCATTGACAAGGCAGCAAAAAGAATGGATCTGAAGTAGTTGTGTGATTTTGAGACAGTGGTGCAGTGATGAGAAGGAGAGGAAATAATGTCTTGCTTCTTTTATTCTGCATTTTTCCAAGATTTCTAGTCAGAAATACTAATTTTTCATCTCCACAGTGCATATTCAGCCCTCACAAAATTAATTTTCACATGCCTTTCCTCACTAGATTAAACCATTCTGCCATGAAAATACCTTTCCTGAGCTACATTCACTGACCAGTACTGCTGCATCTTCTGAAACATCCCTAATGATGTAACTCTGTCCTGAGCTACATTTCGTTCCTCTGCATGTTTCCTCACCCAGTGATTTCAGGTCCTGCACTTAACTTTGCATTCCCATCCCCCTTCCATTACTTGTTTCCAGCATCTTATATGTGATTACATTGGCTTTCACACATCTGGTCTTTCCCCTGACCCTATTTAAGGTGACAGTTACTTATCTTCGTTTATGCAAAAGCAGTACTTTTGAGTTCCCGTTAGAAAAAGGTAATGGCAGAAGGAAGAAATGTTTTCAGAAAGGAGCAGCCAGTCAAGCTGGGTGTTACAGCAATGTAGAGCAGGGAGGAAGATGGATTGAGTGCCCTCAGGGTGACCCCTGGACCCTCTGTAGTTGATGTCTACTGACACTAGCAGGAGCCCGTATGTGGCTTCCCTCGGGGACTGAGGGGATGTATGGACCACTGTTGTTCTGCTGATGATCCCCAAGAACACTCAGGACAGGCTGAATGCCCCTATGAGGCCACAAAACTATGACATGTTTGATGTAAACTGGAGTGACATAGTCTTGACAGATCTAGAGCTACATAGAGATAACGAGAAATCACTGCAGTATGGGGAACTGGACCATGGAGATGCAGGCTCAGGGTTCCAGTCAGATGCAGTTTCTTGCATAATTCTGGAAGTTTCCTGACTTTTTGTCTGTCAGTTGTAGCTGGAAGCACATGGTTTGAGGAACACAACAAAAAACTGAGTTGGGACAAAAGAAAGAGGTGGGCGACAGTGCAGGAGCTCCCCTTGGCTGTGTATAACCTTGTCCCATGGTCAGCTCCACCACAGGAAGCTTGTATGAGAGCTTGCTGCAGTTATGAATCTGCTTGTCTGATAATAATTACTTTAGAACCAGTGATCATACTGCTATCATTTAACCAAAGAAAGAAGTTTTATATACTTAAGGTTTTTCACAGTTGCTGATTCACACTCAGTAGAGATAATTAGCGAGCATCTCTATTAGCAATACAGAGCCCCTCCTGTGTAAAACCCTTTCATGTGACTTGTCCTATTAGCCTTTTTTTCCTGGCTTTTATTTGCTACTAAAGGAATAGCACATGTGAAGTGATGTTTGGGATTTAGAGTATTATAACAGCTCACTGTGTCACTATGTGACGACTTTTTAAAACTAAGTCTAAGAAAATCAGAGTGCATGAAACCAAATTGTAAAGATTCTGAGTAGAGACACACTAATCCTCTACAAAGGCAGGGCTACTGATAGATGAAGTCATTAGACTAGATGCACACAGTTCAGAAAAGGAAGCTGTGGTCACATCACTGGGCAGGCTTTCATATGATGATTTTAAAAAATCTGCTTCAAAGGCATGGCAGGCAGGAAATGCTTTCCTCAGAGTCAATCTTGTTACTTAAAATACAGTTTTGCAGTCAAACTGCAGAGAAGTAAACATAAAAAAAACCCTAAAATTGTCAAACTGGGAGCTCAAAAGTTAGAAAATGCCAGACCAAGTTTCCTTTTCTGAGTCATTGCTCTTCCCCTCCTTCTTTGCCTTATGGCCAGTGCACACAATGCAAAATGGTTTTTACTGCATCATGTCAGGTCTCCACTGAAGAATGTTTAATACAAAGAAAAAAAAAAATTAGCAACCTGGTGGATAATTCTACAGCACTCAACGTTTACTTCAGATACATCACAAATGGTGATTTTTGGAATACCTGTAAAGTGAGACATTTATATAGAACTCATTTCCTATTTCAAGATTGAAAGGATTAAGAACTGAAGTGTCTAGGAAATGCAAATACTATGTTTGAGACATTACAGAGTGGGCTTTAAACTTCCTTTTTGTATCATGCTTCAAATATTTGAGGTTGTGCTCCCACAGGGTTTTGTTACAGCGGTTTCTTCTCAGCACACCTAACTGGGAACACTCAAAACCACGTATCAGCAGAAAATACTTTAAATGATTTCATAACTATAATCGGAAAGCTTTAGAATACAAAGAAGGGACAGAAAAAAAATTTAAGTAAATATGAGACTTTTGTTTTCATTGTGTATGTGTGTTCTACTTGTTGCTTACAGATGTCAGAAGCATTCTCTCCTCTAGTGTGATGTTGCAATTTGAGCCTCTGTTTGGGGTAAATGAGGCATGGACAGAAAATGTACAAAATAGGGCATGATAATAACTGTTTCCTAATGCATTCATAAGAAATTCAAATTATGATGTACAGACAATCTTGATTTTTGAACTTTTGATGTTTAAAACACAGTAACATTTTACCTGTCTGATGTGCTTGCAACATTTCACTTGAAATTCAAAAAAGACTCCCATACCAGAAAAAAAAAAATAGTATATGACATCCTAATTGTATTTATGAGTGATTAGCAGAGCTGCAACTGTTGGCTCTGGCATATAGATCTGATTCTTAATAAAACCCATAAATGGCAAATAGCAATCTAGTTTTATTACAAGCTGAGCTCAGAGTAGAGGAATAAGGGCACTGTGACAAAAGGCTTTATAAATATTTCCCGACAATGCAGATGATCAAGCATGCAGCTCTGTGGCAAAGCCTGCGTCCTTGTAAGCACATGCACCTGCCTGTTCTCTCCAAACCTATGTTTCTTAGGGACAGCTTCTATCCTGTCCATAATGATACCACTTTTCCTTTTCTCGGCTGTCATTCTCATCACCCAGTTGCTCCCTGTCTTTGCACCTAACTCTTGCTCCCACAAACAGATCATCCAGCCAAGAAAACTCAGCTTTCAATATTCTGTATGGATCTCCTGCTTCAACGAACCTTGGTTCCTCTCCTGATGATCCTCTACAAATCCATGTCTATTGCTCCTCTTCTCCATCACTGTTTTCCATTTGCCCATGTTCTTTAGTCTTCTTTCTATCTACTTTCTTCTACATTCTTCTTTCTACCTGCATTCCTATTTATGTTTTAGATTATTGTGATTCTCCCCAGAAATGTCTTTAGTATTAGTTTTCTTCATACACACAGACTTCACTCCATGTATTATCTTCATCTTTCTCTACCATTTCGCTTAGTTTCCATCTCTTAAGCCAATTTCTGGCTGGTTCTAGCCAACAATCCATCCACTCACTGCACAGCTCTGCAGACAGAATGGCTGGTAAGTGACCAGCCATCCAACCTTGGAGAAAAGACTTCATCTTTCTTGCTACAGCTGCTATTCTGCGCATCATCTTTAATTTCACTTATTTCTATCTGTGTATCCACAAGAATGTTTTAGTTGTAAGGTGTTACCAGCTACCTGGCAAAGCAAAGTGGTTACAATCAGACATCAGACTTCCCCACAGCCACCCAGTATGTTTCATTTTATTACCTTTGGATAGTGAAAAAGGGCTGTTTGAATGTTGTTTTTATGGTGGTGATGCTGAAGTTTTGTAACATGACCTTATAATATAGTACAGCAGCATTGCAATTAGAAAATATTTTTCTTTAAAATATATCTCATGTGCTTGTTTTTCCAAAAAAAACCCAGCAGCACTTACAGACATGCATTCAACTTTAAAGCACAAAATTTCTGGATGCTCGGAAACATTTCTAGCAACTTACTTTCACTGGCTGAATAGTCCTGTGGGTCGAGTATCCCTGATTCCTGCAGCGATCTAATACAGGAGTCCACCAGCTCCAGACCAGTGGTGAGTTCATCTTCTATATCCTTCTGACCATCTGTAATGACATTAACAACATAAAAACATAAAAGAAGGGCAAAAAGGTAAAGCCATTTACAAGACAAAAGCTAAAACCAATTGTATGTGACTAAGCAATCACAGCTGACGTGGCCATACTGAAAATTGTGCCATCCTTTGAAAGTGTGGCCGTGGATTAATAAAAGCCAAATGAGACTATTTAGGTCTAGTAGTAAAAAAAGCCAGAGACAGATTTAGCAATGCCCCTTCTCAAAACTCTACATTAGTTTCAGTGTACTTTTTGTCAACCCTAACAACTTTTGCCAAATCTTGTCACTTTTTAAGTACAGTTTTCACACACTAGCAATGAGAAAAAACACACAAAAACCTCCTCGATGTGCTTGTCCCTTCCATCTTCTTTAGGTAAAAATGATCTTTCTGGGAGAGAATGTAATACATATATATAGATAGGTATATTACCTTGTGTTTGCCAGTGAAACTGCTCTTCTGTTGAACTGGAAAGAGAAAGAAAAAAGTAATTATTTTTAATCAAACTGGTTTGTACTGTGCCATGAATATTCAGATATAAATCTATTCTGAATGAACTGATTTAAGAGAAGAACACACTTAAGAATAAAACCTTATTTAGACTACATAATTTTATATATATTTTAAATAATTACTTAATTACTTAAATTAATTACAACATTCATCCAGCTGGAGGGTAGCATCTTTATTTCTTCCTCAAGCAATCTGAATCATACACACAGAAATTGGCCTCTTGGTCTTGATATACAAACTACACTATTTCAAAGCAAAAACATTAGCGTTCTTCAACTTTTTGGATCCTTCCATTTGTCTGACTCTCCATGTTTATCAAGAAAACTATGAATTGCTTTCTCAAGTGAATAGTTACATGTGACTTCTGAATGAAATTACGAATATGAGTCCTGGTTCTACTGATCATCATGTGCATTTTTATATTATTCAAATGTGCAGCTAAGTTAATTCAATTGGCCTACACAGGAGAGAAAATTTAGATGTGTTTGTGCTTCTATGTGCAAGCACTCAAGCAACAGAAGATCTTAATTTTAAAATAATGAGCATGCACACTAGAGGATGGGTTAGGTAGGGTTTGTTTTTTTTTTTCCCAATGAAATGAAAGATTCATTCAATTGAATGATAAAATAAATTGTATATTCAATTAGGCAATGTCTACACTTTACTCCAAGGCATGCTCTGTTTATGCTTCAATATACGTCTTTCCCACATGACAAGGATATAAAAAGGATTGAAGTTACTCAGTTCTACCTATTCTTTTGATAACAGTGAACTGATTATTACACCCATGACTGAAAGATTTTTCTGTACATTTTTATAAGATACTTATAGGAGAGAACAACATTATCTGTTGCATCCATAAGTTAAAAAAAACCCCCAAAAACAACAAAGACTGAAAACTTTTCCAACAATTATACTTTTTTTTCATTTGTTTTCTGATGTTGAGACTAAATGTTCTTTTGGATGAGTAAAAGGATTTAAATCTCTAATTATTTTCCCTTTTCCCAACAGATCCTCCATCACTTATGAATATATCAGCATACCTCCTACTAGCTATGTTCTGAACAACAGTAATGTAAATGAAATTAAGTATTTCCTAGTGGATGTTTATTTTTACAGTAAAGAACTTGTGTAAATTATTTACCCGATTTGAAAGTGTTTAAAAAAGAATTATTGTCTAATTTACATAAAAACAGTTCTAAAAAGACTTTTAATTTCCACCTGGCATCATAAATGTTAACCTGGAAAGTTCAAATGCATACATCATCATAAATTTCCTAATGTCTACAACCTATGGTTTATATTGACTCACTGTAATGAGATGTTATAGATTAAGAAGCCAGTCCTTTGATGAGATAGTGAACTAAAACTCTCACATTCAAGTCCACTGAAATTAACAATATTGAAGATAAGTGTTGCCAGAGTCCTCAAACAATAATAATTGCAAAGTGCTGAACTGGATGAAATTTAAATTACCTTTTGAAATGAAGTCTTAGTAGTGACTAGGGATAGTGACTCTTTTTTGAAATAACACTTTTTCCAATTTTACATTCCTTTTTTTTTGATTTTCAGATTTACTAAATAACTGCAGCTTCATCTGAAACACTGGGACGCGAGAGCAATCTTCCTTTCTGTAATTAGCAGAATCCATAATAACTAATATACTACTTTCCACTCTAGAGTCCTTCTTCCAGTATCCAGATTTCTTTGAGATAGATATCACCTCACCAGCCAGAAAAAATATAGTATCTCAGGTGACATTCTTGCTGGCAGAATGAATTACTAGACATTGCTGGCAAGGACACAATGATGTGAAAGCCTATGCCACCTCATCCAAATAAGTCAGAAAAGAAAATCAAGTCATGATTAAAGAGTGAATTGCCACTTACAGGAATTCAAGCCTAGCCCTTTTTAAGTAGCAAACTTGTACAAAATGTAACAAAGGTCATTATGTTCAATGAATCACTTGTGGCTGATTCGCAGTAATCCCCAATATCACTTATCTGACTTCCACAGAAACACTGTACAGTATACATATAAATTTCAGGATCACAATGAATTTTCACTAGATTCCGACTTTTCCAATTTTAGTCATGTTTCTCCTCACCAGTACAGTAATAGTCTTTCAATAAATAATGTTGCTTTAGAGTAATGATGGCAGATCCACCATCAGAATTTTTATCCTAATGCTACCTTCTTATTCAACATTTGGAACATGAACCAGGCTTAGCAGGGCAGTGGTGAGTCCCCATCCCTGAAGGTATTTTAAAACATGCGTAGGTGTGACACATGGGGACGTGGTTTAGTAGTGGACTTGGCAGTGCTGGATTAATGCTTGGCCTCAATGGTCACAAAAGGTTTTTTCTGACATAAAAGATATTATGATTCTCTATTAAAGTTTTATTTGTTCCTACAAAGAAATCGGTATATGCTGATATAGAAAGAGTGCTGTTTTCTTTAGTTAAATTCATGTTCTTTAGCTTTTTAACAATCCAGTATAGCTGGATATTGAAGCTGCCATTTCTTGGGTGCAATCCAATGCCAGAGCCTTGAAAACAAACATTTAAAGGGTTTCACTAGAAAACTTTATCAGAATTTGCCATAGTTTTAATCTAAATACTCTTTATTTTTCCTTTTCCCCCTTTTTTAACTGATCTTCCCCTGTTTTTGGTCTGAAAAAGATTCCTGACTAAAGCAACCTGACTTGTTTGTGCAGGAAACTTTTAGGCTGTCACACGACTGCTTGAGTCGTGTGATTTGTCACACAAATCTGCTTGAGTGAATAAGAGGGCACACTTTTCTGTCTTTTTCTTTCAGGTGTTTCCCAGCTGCAAGAGATCAGTGCAACTGACTGTATAGTTACATCAAATAAATGAAAAGACAAAAAAACAGTATTTAACAGAAGTATTGTCTTAATAAAATTTTCAGCATGTTCAGCAAAATGTATTTTGCTTCATTTTTTTTTTCTAAAGAAAAAATGCATTAGCAAACTACTTTTCTGAATATTCCTATGCCTCATTATGTAAGTTTCCAAATGTTAGTGTCTTTGACTGATGAAGATGAGCAATAAAATTCTTTATCAAGCTGTTCTGACCTATGGTAACCTGAGCCCCACCTTCAGAGTTTGAGGAAGGGATTTTAACAGAACTACATCAGTATAGCATTAGAAAATCCTGGCATAAAAAATGACGGACCTGAGAACTCAAGCAGACAGAATTACTACACCCCTTCACCAAAACTCATAAGAATAATTGTGATTTATTTATTCTTATTTTATTTTTGGTAGTCATTGCATCCTGTACATATTTCAAATGTTCTAGGTACAAATAAGACTACTGTTCTACTTAATTCTACCTGACTTACAGAAAGAATCCTCCATCACTATTCAACTATGCAAAACTTGATTCTTCTATGCTTATATTGTCTTTGGAAAATTCAGTGTATTGAAGGAAAATCACAAGGAAGCTGAATTATTTAAGAATGAGAAGATAATGCTAAAACCCAAACAAATGAACAAAAAACCACTTGACTAAACAAATGAAGAATCGTGTTACATGTTTAGTTCTTTATGTTAAAGTTTAAGCTAATGAACCTATCTTCTGTAAGGATGCACTACCTTTAATGGATGTTTTACCTTTAATAACTATCTAGGAAAGGATATATTCCAGTAAAAATGTTTTACCTCCCTAGGCAAGAATGAACAAAGTAAATATCCACAGAGCGGTCATCTTGATTCCAGCTGAACTCACACGTTCCCATTTCTGCACACATGCCATAAAAGCACCATAGCAGTGACAACCCTCTGTGTGTGACCTTGCATATAAGGAGGGTGAAAGGCAAATGTGCACAGCACGCTGCAGGGAGCTCATTTGGGGATCATCACCTGGGGAGCTCTACCTGCCTCTTCACAGTGAGGGAACAGCAGCAGCACAGAGCATTGCAAAAATGCAATTTTCTGCAGCCAGCTGAGGATGTCTGACTATTACCAGCAGCTCTGTACATCAAGTTTATCCCTTTTCAGGCATAAAAAGAAAAATCCCAGACTGACCTACAGTTTGTCCATAAACACACAACAAACCAGCCTTTAGAGAGCCTTCATTTTACCCTGTGCCTCAAGTCAAGTTCAACAAGAAGTGGGTGCCCCTTCATGATGGACTTGATAAGAATTCACCATGATAAGATCAGCCAGCACTTGCACAGCAAGGTGAGTTACAGAACACCATCAAACATCCCTCCCAGCAATTTACGAGAGTCAAAACCAGTTTTGGTGGTGTAGCAGTGAATGCTCCATATGACACCAAAATAATACCTTCCTGGAAAACATTCACCAGCCATATTTCTAAAAAGGAACCATATCCTCAAGGGAGGTAACCCAGAGGTAGGGAATGCTATTGAATACTATGGCAGGAGGAAAGCTGCCTGAGACATCCTCAGACTTTGTTGCTATTAGGGCCTGTACAAACACCCAAAGATTCACTTCCAAAGCAGGTCATGGGAAGCAGCAGGGGCACCTTGGACTCAGCTGAACTCCTAGAAGGTGGATGTGGGCCTGTGGCACTGGCATCAGGAACAACGGTAGGCAAAGATAAGTTACACCAAACTCCAGCCCAAGACACATTTTGCTCACTGCCACAGCAGGACTTGCAGCATCACTTGGGTTTAGTTTTAGACATTACATGGCCTAATGTGAGACCAGGCCTGCTTCAGAGGAATGCGTTGATAGGTTTAGAACCATTCAGTGCAAGGAGGAGCTCCACTGCCCTGTACACACTTCTCCAGCAGTAATATTTACTATGCAGCCTGCAGAAATTCATTGTTCTTATCACATGCACCAAAATACACCAGTGCACAGGCACAGCAGGCCAAAGCATTCATTGCCTTGCTGCTCCCCAGAAGAACACCACAGCAGAGTCTCACTTCTTGTTGGGAAGGGAGGTAGGTTATCTTTCATTCACTGTTTCTGGCACATGCCTTGCTTTATCACTGAGCCTGCATACAGGCTCACAGGGCAAATTCACACTTTTGTATTCCTCTAATTATCCAAGAAATGTTTGTGTGCCTCTCCTTTGTGTGAAGTCATTTATTTACAGTTGTCACTCATTTTTTGAAAAGTGCTATAGCTATCTGCTACACCAAAATATTTTTCTTGTCTTCTAAAACAATTAATGAAATTATATCTAAAACAATGAAATTATATATAACACTGCTGTAGAAAAGCTAAGAAAGGATTTTACAAGGAGTTGTACCAGCACATGATCTTTTAAATTATTTCTACAATGGAGCTACAAAAACATTGCTGTATATAATTACAGGCAGATACTGTCTCACTGATTTTTTAATTGTTTTTTGTTGTGGAAGGTGGAAGAAAAAAGATCCAGAAGTATTTCACAAAAAGCAAAGAGGCTGAAAAATTAATATTCCATCTAAAGCAAAGGAAAAGCAGTTTTAAATCAGAAGAACATTTCAGGTTATCTGCAAAATAGTAAACAACTTTTAGTATTGACTATCTGGTGGGGAAAAAAAAACCAAACAACATAAGAATAAGTTTTACATTAAATAATCCTGAAAAAAGTACCAACCCTTCAATAAATTGCCATAGTAAAAAACAATCCTCAAGAGCAACTTTTGGGTTTTGAGGCTGATTTAAAATAACATCAAAATCTATGATACTGGTAGTCACTCCCTTCACCTCTATAAATGTGACACTGTACGCTCTCTCAAATATTGAATAGCAGCACTCTATTAGTCAGCTATGGTATCAACTTGGCTACCCAATCAAGAAGTCCTTTTTTTTGATGTTCCAACAAACCTAATCCAATTTCCTACAATAATCCTGGAAAATGTAAAAAAAAAAAAGTCCAACAAACCAAAATAAATAAACAATACACCCAAAAATCCACACATATTTTACTGATGGCTGCTGTCTTGTACCTTGGAAATTTCAAACTGACTTTTAAAATTATGACAAAGTTCTTAGCTGCAGATGCCAGGAAGCCATTCAGGTGATTAATTCCCACCTTTATTAGAACAGCCTTGCTTCAAGTTCCTGCAGGGAAAGAAAATGGTCTAATTTTTTTCACAGAAAAATTATTGTTATTCCCTAGGTTTTATGAAATTAATAGCAGAACTTTGTGGCTGTGCTGGTAAAGTTTTGTGCCTCTTTCCAACGATGCAGGGAAATATTTGCAGCCAAATTTCCAAAGAGGTCTCAAAAATCAATGCTTTCCTCTACACTTAGTACTTGCAGAAATTTGCAGACATGGTTTTCCTTTAAAAACAAGTTTTAATCTGCTCCAGTCCTATTTATATTCAATTTCCCTATGCTGATTGTGCTTCATAAAACCATTCTTATTTGAATGTGATTTAAAGTTCAGGTGCTATAGCACTAAGAATGCTGTTTAAGTACACAGCATGCATGGAAAGGCACCAGCAGCCTTGCATTCCATACAGTGCACTGCTTAAAGGCTTGCACAGCAGGTGCCAGAGGCTGTTATTTAATGGACAAAGAATAACACAACCTGTTTTCTTGTAGCTTTTGATCATCACTCCTGAAATGTTCTACAAGAGCATCAATTATGGTAAATTTTATTTTGTTACTGAATTAATTTCACACAGACCAACCCCGAAAACCTATCTACTTCAGTTTTGAATGAACTTGGTCACCTAGGGAGAGAACACTTGGTACTACACTTGCAACTAGCCAGTTTCCTTTAGCTTCAGTTCTGCAGGCGGACCTGGCATGACAGTGAACACAGAGAATTCTTCTTCAGAGTGGAAGCCTTCAAAGCTCTGCTGTTCTAAAGAAAAGAATTTAGAGTGCAATAGGTACTTTGTGTATTTATTTAACTTTAATGGACACAATAACAACATTAGGGAAACAAGTACCATGTGATTGCCCTGTTCTCACTCTTCCCCTGATATCCCTTTCATGCCCTTCTGCATTCCAGATAGGATACTGGGCTAGATAGACCCCAGTTCTGAATCAATACAGCCACTCTTCTGTTCTTATTTAGAGAAGCCAAAATCAAACCAAATTACTTAATTTTGTAATTTCCCATTATTAATTAATTAAGAAAAAGGATGATGGTACACAAAAAGAAGGAATTAGCTCAAGGCTGGATTTCTGCTGATACTGTTAGTTCTTCTGGTTTGCTTCAAACCTATTTTTATTTGAGAAAAGAGCTCATTTCCCAAACTAAACATAGCTACACAGGAACACATTTGGACGAGAATAGAATTAGAATATTTCAATTGCAAGGGACTAACAATGACCACTGAGTGCAAATACCTGACCATTTCAGGGCAGACTGAGGGCTATACAGCAGGTTATTAAGGTTGTTGTACAAAAGCTTCTAAACACTGACAGGTTTGGGGCCTCAACCACCTCTCTAGGATCCTGCTCCAGTATTTGACCACCCTCTTGTTAAAGAAATGCTTCTTCATGCCCAGTCTGAATCTTAAATTTTAAATTTTGCTGCTTCTGCACAGCAAAGCAGTTTAGACAGCATTGTACTGTGATAGTCCTTCAGTCCCAGTGATGGTATTTGGATCTGATCCAAACCCAACAAGCATATAAAATAGAATTAGAAATGGCAAATTAGAGAAATCAATAGTGGAGCGATAGAATCATCTCTGCCCTAAGGCAACAGAGCAGTCTGGCGCCTAAATCACACCACAGCCTATCAGTACCCATAAAACTGTGTTCTTCAAGCATGCTTTATTGACAACATTGCACAAAAAGTAGGATAGTGGTTGCCATGCTTTAAAAAAACAGTACCATGCCCTAAAAGATAAAGTGAGGTCCAGTTTCTTCATTCCCTTCTCCCTCTTATTCCAAAAGTTCAGCTCAGCTATTAAAGCACTTATGCACAATGTGATGGAACCAATTATAATATTTTGTGAGAAATCAAAGCAGTGCCTAAGTTCATTGTAACTATCGGAC